CCGCCGCAGCAGCAGCAGCAGCAGCACGGCAGCGGCGGGCGAGGCAGGGGCAGGGGCCGCGGGCGGGGGCGTGGCCGAGTGGGTCGCCCACCGCTCCACGGGCGCGGCAGCGGTGGCAACAATGCGTCGCCCGGGCCGCTGTCCCAGGCGCAGCCCAGCCCAGTGCAGCAGCATTCGGTTCCTTGGTAACCAAATGGCATTCACAAAGTCACCACACATCAGTGCTCAGTGTCGAGCGGGTTGCTTATCTGGACAGATGCAGCAGATGTTAGTGCATTTAGCATGCAGCGCCGGGACAGCAGATGTGTAGTTTGTGTACTGGCTTTTGATGGCTATGGACAAAGGCAGGCCTTGGCTGAATTCTTCTACCCAATTTTCCTGGGCACTGGGACAGCAAGCCTGTGTTTGTGGGCGGTTACCTGCCAGCCGACGCCTCTCGCCTGTCTCCCCTGGCCATGCACGACCGCTGAACATTTGTGTGGCAATACGAGGGACAGGCCGCACACGCAAGCAAATTACAGCATAAACAGGAGCCAATGCCTGCTGCTGAGCACAACCGACCTGCACCTCATGCCATCAAAGCTGCGAATCAGCGTGATGAATTCCCCGAGCCGCCTAAACTACACCTGCCCGCCACTGTACCGGCAGCAGCAGCCACCCCCACTCATGCGATGACGCGTCCTGCGCTGCCAAGCGCATGCAGCAGACGGCCGCGCTCCGCTTGCTCACACCCACCCCATGCAGCGCGGCGCCGCGGGCCCTGGCCCGGGCCGCAAGCGCCCCTCTGGCCGTCCCGTGGCGGAACAGGGCCAGAGGCGCGGGCGGGCCCCGCCTAGCTGTACAGGTCATCGTCGTCGTCCGCCGCCGCCGCGCCGCTGGCAAACGCGCCGCCGCCCGCCGCCGGTGCCGCCGCCGCCGCGGCCGCCGCGGGGGCGCCGCCCTCCGGGAACCGGAAGTCGGTCCCGAACCCGCGTGACTGCTGCAGCGTCTGCGCAAAGGCCTGGTACTTGCGGATGTCGGCGTCGCTGACCGAGCGCCGCGCGTACTTCATGGACTCCTCAAAGTGCGCCTTGGTGATGCACGGCACCTGAGGGCGGGAGGTGGGCGGGGCGGGGG